GAATATAGAATGGTTGTACTATTCGATAATGTTTGCGACACGTCATCGCATTGCGGCAAACATCTGCTTTTTTCATTGTTGGTAATAAGATGAAAAATTTTGAGATAGTTCATGATGCCAGATTCTGAGAACCTCTTTTTTGCAATAATTATATTCAATTATGCAGCAAAATGCCGATTGGCTGAATTGAGTAATGAGGCTTGTAGAACTAGAGGAGAGATAAGCAAGCGAAGCGAAAATTTGGGCGCAAAGTGCTTTTCAGATTAATTTTATCAATTTTCGTTTCTATGCTAGTCTTAAAACTTGTAGTGGATTTTGCATAAAAGCTGTAGTCATCCCGTTTATTTTTCCCACAATGCTATGAATGAGACCTACTCATAGCAGTATATAAAAATTCAGCCATTGGTCCTTTATCATCTTGTGCAAACTTGGGAAAGTACAGCTAATGACAAAGATCTACTGGTAGTCTCAAAATCTAATTAAAAATAGAAAATAAATAAAGATTATTTCATCAACAATCCCATAAAAATATGTATTATGAGAGAGGCCTAGCCTTCCCTTGAAATAGTGAGGCCTACTGATATGGTAGTGGTAAAATAGAATAACCAGTACTCTAGAGTAAATAGAGCTCTTAGAAAAGTTGCCTCAAGCCACCAATGACTTCGACTTTGACAACCCAACACAGGGAACTTGACCCTTTGACCTCTACAAAAACAACCCTTCACTCACCTGGAGTTGTGCTCTACCTGCATCGTTGTGGCGTGCTTGATTGTGCCAGTCGTCCGGTGATCGGATCGTTTGGACGAGTGACTGTCTATCCACGACCCGCCATCCTCTGCCACTTCATGAGATACCTCCTGTGCCTCCTCCTCATCTTCCCCCTCCTCCTTCTCATTCTCCTTCTCCTTCTCCTCCTTCCCAACAGCTTTAGATGATACCACCAGCTCCGGCTTACATTGAATTGCCTCTTCCCTAACCAAAAACCTATCGCTCTGATGGTCATCTCCATGTGGAGTCTGGTTGCTAGCCCGCTCTGCCTGCACTTTTGTTGCATTGATCTGACCTGTCTCACTCGATGAACTGCTACCAACTTCGTAAACCGATCTTGTCATAGCGTTTTGTCCTAGAGATTTGTCGGACCTCATGTAGGCTCTAGGCAACCGGTATGTAGGTTCAGTTTGTCCTTGGGCTTCATGGGTTATGGCAACCTCCTGTGAAATGTCAGGAGTATGCCGGACGTCGAGGTCAAGCTGTTTCGAAGAGGCCAATACGGTAGCTGGTTGAATCTGGGTGGCATGGGAAAAGAGGTTGCACATGTATGTGCATGCGCCTGTAAGTCTGGCCCAAAATAAGCTAAAGAAGCAGGTTTGATGGCACACATCCTAACAACTGATCTACCGGTAGTCTTGAAACTTTGCTTATATACGAAAATAGGTAACGTAGTCGATTGTTATAGCGAAAATACGTTTGCTTCATCGACAATTTCACCAAAGAATGTGATGTGGGAAAAGGCATGACCTTTCTTGAAATTCACACCTGCCCTATGACCCAAGAGAACTCATGGAAATGTGGCCGAGTGGTTAACGTGTCAAGTTTACATGCTGCCCTGTAGCGGTTCGTCTCCCGCTGGGGCTGCTGATAAGACCGATGCGAGGTCGAAACTACAGTCCACTCTGGATAGGAACATCTTTTGGGCAAGCAAGACAAGTGAAAGGCCATGAAAACGTCATGTGTATACATATCGTTGTGGGAAAGTTCAACTAATAGTCACCTTATCACATCTCATATAGCCTTGATCTTGTCTACGTTTTGAGGCATATGCGTTGTATGAGTTTTGTCTACACTACATCGTTTAAGGTGATTAATGACTAGTAGTTGTATTTCACCTCGACCTCGCATCGGTATTATCAACACCCCAGGCGGGAGTCGAACCGTGACAGTGCAGCATGTGAACTTGACACGTTAACCACTACGCCACATTGCCACGAGTGCAATTGGAGCACAAAGAAGATGTGAATTTCAAGGAATGTCAGGCATTTTCCATATCACATTCTATATTTAGATTGTAGATAAAGCAAACTTATATTTGCTATAGCAATTGACGATATTACTTTTTTCGTTACTGAGTAGGTTTTCGAGACCATCAGTAAATCAGATATGTGAGATGTGGACTGGACGAAAACACATTTCGCGAAAGTAAGGCTATGTTAAATTTGATGGAAAACATCAGCCTTATTCATATCAATATGGGAAAATTCAACTACCAGTCCTTCATAACCTTAAACTAAGTAGGGTGAGCCCAACTCATATTCAGCTACCATCTTCTGGTAAAATTGACCCACACTTTCATGCCAGATGAAAGTCTCCACAACAATGCACTTACACAATCAAATCGAATACACAAAGCCGTAACTAAGCCTGCTTGTGTGTGTGTGTGCGCGCGTTCAACTATCAT